TTGACACATAGTATTTTTGTATAAAATTTTTTAAAATTTCTATTATGATTACTTATTTGATCTATTGGTTATATATAAGCATGATTTTAAATGTCCAAATGAATTTCTAATTATCTTTCTGTGATTGACTTCTTGCTTAATTACATTGTTTTGCAGAATATAATGTTAGATTTCATTCTTCAAACATTTGTTGATATCTGCTTTATGGTTAGTTTCTGATAATGATCTGTGTGTGTGTGTGTGTGTGTGTGTGTGTGTGTGTGTGTGTGTGTGTGTGTCTGTGTCTGTATTTTCTTGATTCAGGGTCTTGTGCTGTTGCCCAGGCGGGAGTGAAGTGGCAGGATCATAACTCGCTGCAGCCTCAAGTTTCTGGGCTTAAGCATTCCTCCCACCTCAGCCTCCCAAAACGCTGACATTACAGACATGAACCAGTGTACCCAAACTGATCACTGTATTTCTGAGCAATTATAAATTGTGAAATAGTTGGAAACAGTGTTTTATATTTACAATCTAAGATTAATTTTGCCTGTATTTGTTTTTTTAAATAGGCAGTCCTCACTTTGCATGGTTTCTGTATGCATGAATTTGATTAATAGAGTTTAGTTAAATATTATCCATTCCCCATTAACACAGTTCCAATTTAAGTTACCACAGTAAATTAATTTAACTGCTAGTTCTTCAGTACAAAAATCACTACATAAATAACAGATAAAAATCATGACCAGTGGCGATCACGTCACTTCTTTTAAGATCTGTTGGTGATTGGTCAGTGACATGTATTAATCAGTTTATACATTGACAGCAAAGCTTGTTGTTATGCTTCCTATTTGTCTCCCAGTGATAAACATAAATGACATTTTATGAAATGGACAGTTGAAATAGAGATTGGCCGTCAAAGATGACAATGCAACAAAAACAAAAACTTATAACACTGGAAGTAAAATTTGAGTCCAAAATAAATGGAATTATGAAAGAAATAACTGGCCATGAGAAATGTTGGCTCTGCTGTCATTGACAGGATTCTAGATATGCAGTCAGTGGAACTTAGTAAAGGCAACCATATCAACATAAATGAGGAAACTGATTGCAATAAAAAGGATAAAGATGGCCTAGTGGAAGTGACACTGGCAAAAACCATCACATTAAAGGAGCTCTCAGAGATGTTTTATGACATTCACAGCATAAATGATAAAATATGGAAGCTGATCCAAACTTAGGTATAATGCAATTTGCCAAGGCATAAAAAACAAAGCTCCCTCTCTATTTTGTTATGATGAGAAGACAAGCACTGTTCAAACTATACTTTAAAAAAAAAAAAAAAGTCAGGTTCTCACTCTTTCGCCCAGGCTAGAGTGCAGTGGCATAGTCATGGCTCCCACTGCTTCAACCTTCTGGACTTAGCTGATCCTTCCACCTCAGTCTCCTGAGGAGCTGAGACTACAGGTGCATGCCACCACGCCCAGCTAAGTTTTTTATTTTTCGTAGTGACTAGGTCTTGCTATGTTGCTCAGGCTGGTCTCAGACTCCTGGACTCAAGCAATCCTCTTGGTTAGGCCTCCCAAACTACTCTTGCTAAGATTTTTACAAAGAAAAAATGTTAGTGCTCAATATAACTAGTGGTTTAATTTACAATGTACTCAACAAATATTATTTTAATTTTTATTTCTCTATACATTTATAACCAATAGTGAAAAAGTTATGTTTTGACAAAGATTTTTAAAGGTCATGGAAAAAATACAGTTTTTCTTACTGATATTAGAAACTACTTTGTGACTTCAGTAAAGTCTTGGAATACAAAATCAACATTGAAAAATTAGCATTTCTATGGACTGAAAACATTTAAGCTGAGACTTAAACCAAGAACACAATCCATTTTACTTATAATAGCCACATTCATACAAAAATACCTAGGAGTACATTTAACCAAGAAGGTGAAAGATCTCTGCAATAACTACAAAACACTGCCGAAAGAAATCAAAGATGACAGGAACAAATGGAAATTCATCACGTGTTCACTGATTGGAAGAATCAATATTGTTAAAATGCTTATACTGCTTTGATAAATGTATAGATTCAATGCAATCCCTATTGTCATTTTTCACAGATCTAGAAAAACAGTACTAAATTCATATGGAAGCAAAAAAGAGCCCAAATAGCCAAAGCCATCCTAGGCAATAAGAAGAAAGCCAGAGGCATTACATTACCAGTCTTCAAACATGACTATATGGCTATAGTGACCAAAACAGCATGCTATTGGTATGAAAATAGTACCATTCTGTCTACTGCATTTGTCTAGGCCAATGGAAGAGAATAGAGAACCCAGAAATGAGACCATTGGCTACAACTGGTCTTTAATAAAGTTGACAAAAATAAGAATTGGGGAAATGCTTCAATAAATGGTGCTAGGAAAACAGGTGAATGAATATGCAGATAAATGAAACAGAACTCTTTCACCATATGCAAATATTAACTCAAGATAGATTCAATACTTAAATGTGAGACCTCAAACTATAAAAATCCTAGAAGAAAGCCTAGAAAACCCTTTTCTGGACATTGACATAGGCAATGAATTCCTGACCAAGTCCCCCAAAGCAAATGCAACAAAAATGAAAATTGACAAATGGGATCTAATTAAACTAAAGAGCTTCTTTACAGCAAAGAAAACTATCAACAGAGTAAATAACTTATAGAATGAGGGAAAATATTTGCAAACTATGCATCTGATAAAGGACTAATTTCCAGAATCTAAAAGGCATTTAAATGAATCAACAGGAAGAAAATAAACAACTCCATTAAAAAGTAGGCAAAGGACATAACTAACATTTCTCAAAAGAAAACATACAAGTGATCAACAAACATGAAAAAATGCTCAACATCACTAATCGTCAGGGAATTGCAAATCAAAACCATAGCTATAATGAAGCTTTCTTACAGTCAGAGTAGCTATTATTAATAAGTGAAAAAAACAAATATGTGTTGGCAAGAGTGCAGAGAAAGGGTAATGCTCATACACTGAAAAAACAAATATCTATTGGCAAGAGTGCAGAGAAAAGGTAATGGTCATACACTGTGGGACTGTAAGCTAGTTCAGCCCTGTGGGAGGCAGTTTGGAGATTTCTCTAAGAGCCAACAATAGATTGACCATTTGTCCCAGCAATCCCTCTACCCTCTGGAACATAAATTGTTCTACCAAAAAGACACCAGCACTTGTCTATCACAACACTACTTATATTAGCAAAAACACGGAACCAACCCAGATGCCCATGAATGGTGGATTGGATAAAGAAAGCATGGTACGTATACACCATGGAATACTACACATCCATAAAGATGAACAGAATCATGTTCTTTGCAGCAATATAGATGCAACTGAAGGCTGTTCAAAATGAATTAACATCAGAAGAAGACCGAATACTGCATGTTCTCACGTATAAGTGAGAGCTAAACCCTGGTACATATGAACATAAGGTTGGGAACGATAGACACTGGGGACTCCTAAAGGAAGGAGAGGGAGAAATGGTTGAAAAACGACCTACTTGCTGCCGGGCTCACTGAAAGCTTGCTTCCTCGTTCAGGCAAAGAAGTTTTTATTAAAGCTCCCGGGCTGACACCAAAGTGGCCTCATCCCCGACTTGAAACAGGGAGGGTTTTTTATAAGTGAGTAGGATAAGGGGGTTGGGAGTAGAAAATTTCTTGCACGCATCTGAGCTGGGGGTGGGGGAAGGGGCTCCGTGAGAAGTTGTTTGAGTCTTCCGCTTCCATTCTGTGAGCCTGGGGGCTACAGCAGAGCCTGTCTTTCCCACCTTTGTGAGCCAGCTGGGGTGGGCGGTGGTTAGAGCAGAGCCTTCCTTTTTTTCAACAAAACTGAGGTTTAGTTCTGTGTATGGATTGAAGGCACACCTTCAGAGAAGTTTTGCCAAATGTCCCAGACCAACTTGGATCCAAATATATTTTGATGTTTTATTCTGAGTTCGATCATTTCCAGGGGAGACTCTTATTATTTCTCTGATCTTAGCAACAACTGACAAGCGGTTTTTCTCTAGTCTGACCTTTCCACTAATGGTGTATCCGTCAGCAGCTTTCTGTGGGACATCTTAGTTTTCATCCTTGTGTTGCAGACATGTCTATGGCCTCATCTTTTATTTCTGAGTTAAAACACAAGACTTTAGGCTGCTGAGACAGACGAACCCAAACCATGGTTAACATCAGTTTATGGTCTTACTGCTCTGATTGGGCCCTAGGGGAATTCTCTTACTAATTTTTATACGTTTCGCTATATATTTTAAAAGATACTTCTTACATTTTATTCAGTATGTCTAAGTGTTTTGTGATGAGAAGACTTTCAGATTACCTAGTCTTCCAGTAATTGAATTCTGTTTACTTGTTTATTGATTATAAACTCCAGGAGGGCAGAATCAATGCCAACCTAGTTCACCAAAGCTTCCTCAACACACACCTAATGCTTGATACATACTAGATGCTTAATAAATGTTTGTGGAATGAATGAAATGCTGTCCTTTACAGATTTATTTATAAAAGTGAAGAACTGAAATGAACCTAAATGTGTAATAATAGGAAGTAGTCAAGTAAGTAAATAGTATTTTAAACTTGGAAGTAAATGCCTATTACTCTTAATATTTGTCAGCCAGAAAATAATTATTTGGAGGACTATATTATAAGATAGAAACACAGCAATGATTAAGTGTAGGTGAAAAAAATCATGATTCAAGCTTGAATTAATAGTACAGTAACTTTAAAATGTGCATAACAAGAACACATACTGAACAATGAATACCAAGACGCTAATTGTAGCTTATATTGGAGTGGTGGATTGAGGATCCCTTTTTGCACTTTATTTTTAAAATTTCTTATAATGCTTTTTGTAAGAAAATATGAAAAGGAAAAATACATTAGTGTCCTTAAAAGTTTTTAGATTTAAATACACTAAAAGATGACAAAACAGAAATTTCAGAATTAGTTTATTATTAAAATATTTGCAGACTTTTATATGAAAACACAGAAAAAGATCTTTCTGATACTCAGCGACACCTTGCTAAGAAAAAATATGAGCTACAGCTTACTCAGGAGAAAATTATGTGCTTGGATGAGAAAATTGGTGAGTTTTTTCCTCCGGATGTTACTTTTATTTTTTCTTAAGTGTAGTAGAAAAATGTGTTTCTTCTCTTTAGTTATAGCATAGATAAACTTGGAAGAAGCCCTTAACTCAAAAGTTTATGAGTAAAAAACAATAGAAAACGTGCATTTTTTTCCTTTGACAGTAAAATTGTTTACTCAGATTTAGAGCCATAAGTACTTGCAAATTAAAATTTGTCAATGAAGAAATAGCTATACAAAATTTACACCTTGTAAATTTATGATAATCATTTTAAAATTTGCAATATTTTTATATTACTATAGCTTGTCCATAGGTGTAATAAAATATGTGAATTAACTATACATATATATTATGTATACATAGTACATATACTAGGGGTACCAAAAAAATCTATACAACATTTTGAGAGATGTTCACTGTAATCAGAAGTATCTGGATGCTGATGGTAACCACTTTAAGTACCTCTTGTGATTGCAGAAGTCAAATGTGACTTGTAGTCATCCTATTGAGTATTATAATTTTAATACGGCCCTTTCTTAAATGTGTATATATAATTTTTGGAACCCTCTGTATTATTACTTTTGGTGGAAAGTATATATATGCCTATGATATTACTAGGGTTTATAGAGAAAATTACTTTTATAAAATATTCTATTTATGTTTTTAATCTATGTTGTGTATGAAAATATGGACATACCTTAATCATTTTATAAATATAATGTAAAATTTTGGTTGGGCTACAAAAGAATCTATTTTAAAGCAGAGGAAACATTCTAACAATTGTATTATTTAGTTCAAAAATGTCTGTATGAGCAAATAGATAGGTGGTGCTGTTTATCAAAACAGGAAATATTAAAATAGGAAATATTAAAAGAGAAATATAAAAGGTAATATTGAAGAAGAACCCATTTTTGGATATTTTAAATCCAAGTGAAGATGTAAGGTAAGCAGTTGAATATATAAGTTTGTTTCTCAGAAGAGAAACCCAAGCTAAAGATACATATTTGGGACACATCAGCATATAAATGATATTTCAAAACCATGAAATTACCTAGGGAAATATAGAGGATGAGAAGAAGAGAATCCAGGACTGAATGAGAAGAAACCAAAGAAGTAGGAAGAAAACCCAGAAGTGAGTGTTACTTTGGAAGGCAAGAAAGCAAAGTGTTTTAAAAAGGGAGGGTATAATCAATTGTCAGATACTTTTGAGAAGTGAAATAAAGATTAAAAAAAAAACTGATTAGATCTGGCACATTGGAAGGTTTGATAACTGACAAAAACATATTTGAATAGAGTGTCAGATGTTGAAGATAGAACGGGTTGAGGAATCTATGGGAAGTGAAGTAGAACAGAATAGAATAGAAAAGTCTCTCAAGAAGTTTGGCTATTAAAGAGTAGCAAGAAAATAATGTGTAGCTTGAATCGGAAGTTAGGTTGAGGATTTTTTTTTTAAACTAGGGGATACTAGCGCTCTTTTAGAGATTTATTGATTGCTTGATTACCAGTGAGAATATTAGAACATGCAAAATGTGGGTTGACTTAAAGGCAATACTACCTGCAAAAAGAGATGTATTCTCCATCACTATGTAGATCGTGTTCTTGGCACATGGACAGTACAGTATTAGCTCCCTTAACATTGTAACTGGATGGCCCTTCCTGGAATTCACCTAGCAGGGATTAATTCAGAACTCTGGTCTAAACTTTAGGCCAGTGGTTCTTGAACTTTAATGTGTGTAAGAAATGCCTGGTGAGCTAATAAAGATCATTGGAGCCAAGCTCCTTGAAATAGGTTAGGACTAGAGTTTTTGCGGCTCTATCAGTTTCCCTAGGTTTCTGATATCTTGGAACCTTTGCTGTAGACCAGTGGTTCTCAAACTTCATTATACATTGGAATTACTCAAGGGGAGGAGTGGTGCTTGTGAAAACATAAATTGTGCCCACCATCAGAATGTTTGGTTCAGTAGGTCTGGGGTGGGAATCTAAGAATTTGCATTTCCTAGGTGGTACTGTTGGTGCTTTCAAGAAACTATCATCTGAAAACCACTCCTCTATACCAATAATTCAGGCCTTCAACATTGACATTGGCTTGCAGGTGTTCCATAAATAGAATCAGACTTCCTGGGATGATTTCTTTCTTTCCTGGGAATTTTTGTAACACTATTTTAGAAACATCAGGACGTTAGAAGACATTTAACTTTGAAGATGATTTAATAGAATATTTTATTAAGATTGTTTTTTAACAAATTTATAAAGGAGAAACCCCCTAAAAAACAGAATTAGTTTTTGGAGGGCGGGTCCCTTGTAATACAGGCCTCCCCTGCTAGGTAAGTGTTCTAGGAACCCATCAGCATCAATGTACCAGCTAGCATTGTTGTGAGAGACTGTGTTCTGCTTCAGTTGTTTATTTATTTATTTTTGGAGATTCTTTCAAAGCTTTTGCCCATTTTTTTAACATTTTAAATGTATTTATTTTAAAGATGTGGGGGACAATTCAGGATTAGGTAGTTAAGTGGTCATTTTACAGGTAAACTTTGGATCTCCCTTGGATCCCCACTTTGCCTAGTTGTCCATTTTTTTGCTAAGTGATTTATAAGCACGCCTGTTCATACCGTGCAGAGTGTTCAGCAGTTTTTGACCAAAAACAGCATGACCCCTGTGCCCCACCCACTCTGTTCACTCAATCTTGTCCCAAGTGACTTTTTGTTGTTTCCCTGGATGAAAAGAGTCTTCAAAGGGAAACACTTTACTGATGTGGAAGAGGTGAAACAAAAAATGGCAGAGAAACAAACAGGCATCAAAATTGATGAGTTCAAAAACTGTCTGAAGCAGTGGAAAAAGCCTCTAAATAGGCATCATGCAGAGAGTACTTTGAAGGTGACTGAAGTTTAAATGTGTAGGAATAAATATGCAATTTTTAATAAATAAATTCCAGTTTTCTTGGGTCCCCCCTCATATATATCAGTGATTTTAGGCTTGAGGGAGAGGAGGAGAAACTGAGGGAGAAAGATCACAGGTTGTTTTGATATTCCATCCACCTCATCCACTTACTCTCTCATCCCTCACCACACATGTAAATCTACTTTGAGAACGTATAATATAGAGATTTCCCTTGTTATTCTAATTCAGTATTATGTGTTTTCATATTCATGAGTCATTTAGAATTTTGTAATTCATTATAGTTGCAAATCACTAGCATCAAAAACCATTTTTAAATTTGGCATCATACTCTTATTTTTAGCTGTTGAACCTAATTTGGGAGAACTTATCTCAAAAAGTATTTCAATCTTCTTGAAATATAAACAATACTTTATCTTGATTAAAACAGCACCTTTATGATTATATATTTAGATAATTTTACAAGGCAAAGTATTGCACAGCGAGAAGAAATCAGCATTCTTGGTGCAACCCTCAATGATCTGGCTAAAGAAAAGGAATGCCTGCAAGCATGTTTGGATAAAAAATCTGAGAATATTGCATCCCTTGGAGAGAGTTTGGCAATGAAAGTATGTTCTGAGAACTGTGGTTTACAAGAAATGTTTTAATGAAATGTTTAAATGTTAAACTGTGGTTTAACCTGAATAAAATAATAGGATTTCCCCAAAACTTTTTTCTAAAGAGCTGAAACTTTAAAATCTGACTTTGAAATATTTTAAGATAGTCTTAGGAAGTATATGTACAAATTCAGTAGCTAATATTTTAAATTGATTTTTCTATCATGAATTGGTGGTTAACATTCACTGGCAATAATTAATGTAAATAACAACATGTAAAGCACAACAATAAGACAGTGAAACTAAGTTATTTTGAAAAACATATTTTCATAGTCACCTTGGGAGACAATATGTTCAGAACTAGGAGCACATTATTGCATCATCTTCAACCTTTGAGAGTAGATCATGTGAGACTGGTGAATAAAGCTGGATGATAACCCCCCCTTCATTAAAATAAAGGGTTGACAACGAGGCAGAGAGCTATTGATGCCCTTTTCTTGCTCATAAACTGATTGTGAAGGCATTTCCTAAACTGTGTTTCACAAATACTGTAAGCAAAGACAGCATCATTGGCATAAGGGCTTTTCCTATTCTAAGGGAACTGATTCATTAATTTATTTATCCATTCATTCTTTGTTTCAGCAAGCATTTGGTGACATGTACCAGGTATTATGTTAGAAACTTAGAGTGGGTGGCCTGCCTTCCAAAAACCTATAGTGTAATAGGGAGAGAGATACAGATACTATTATGATAGGATATCTTAGGTGCCATAATGACATATGCACATTGTGTTAATTGGAGTTTAGCACTATCTTAATATAGGCCTCATTGTTATAACAGCCTGGGAGTTGGGTTAGGGGAGGAAGAAGGTCTGGGAAGACTTCCAGGAAGTGATGGTACTTGGGTTACCCTGAAAAGTGACTAGAAATTAGCCAGGTAAAGATTTAGGGGAAAAGCAGAGCGAGAAAGGATGATCTAGACAGGTAGAGCAGCTTATGTGAAAGCCCAGTGGCTTTCATGGAATAATTGCATGAGACTTCCTGATAGTATAGTATGGCCAGAGAATAAGTTGCAAAGAGACAGGTATGAGAGGGTAAAAGATAAGATGGGATAGATAAATAAAAAATCATAAAAATACATGTGACGTTGAATGTGGGCTCTATCCTCATGGATATGGAGGGTCGTTGCAATAACAAATATCTGACACTTGTAAATCCTTGTAAAAGATTTATTATAGGAAAATGAGAATAGTGATAGGGACACCAGTTATAACAGTGATGAGGCTTATATTAGGATAGTGGCAGTTATCAGTGAGAGAAACAGATCTATCAAGGAAGTAAAATTGACAAGATATGGTTTCCAGTTTAGGAGCCACATGGATAGCTCCTATGCATGAAATAGGAAACACAAGATACAGGGCTTAGAAAGGAAGGTTCCTGACATTTTTAAGTTAACCAGGTAATGACTTTCAGAAGCACTAGTTCAACTAGTTTTTCAGAAGTTATTAATATTTAGAAATGTATAAAGTTACACTTCAAAAAAATTTTGTAAGCACTTCATTTTAAGCAGTACTTTGTGTTTTTTTTCCTTCATTGGTTTGTCCTTCTTAAAGGGGTTTCACTGTTTTTGCTAATGGATGTTTTTAACAATACTTCATTATCATTACTGCCAGCTGTGGAATCTGCACCATTCTATCAGAAAGCAGAATGGGAAACTGTAGCTAAAAATACCCTGGAGAGGAGTACATGAATTAAGGAAGATAGCATGCCCACACACATACATACACATGCACATGTGCACGTGTGAAATTAACTGTCTCTCTAAAGAAACAGGAACAGAACTGATCAGAAAATATGTTTTTGTTTTAAATCTTGTTGTTTGCTAAGGATCTGAAAATCCAAAGGGCAAGGTGAAATCTAGTTATTATTTAGTCAAATAATAATTTTTCTGCTTTTTTTGGACTAATATTAACTCTAAGTGTCTGTTTATAGTTAGACTAGTTCTGGCTCCATGAGAGTTTTAAAAGGTGATTCAGGAATGGTATTAAAGTCATTAATATATTCAAACCTATTTTAGCCTTGACTGACTCCACTAATTCTACTCCCTCACCACACCTTTGAAAAGGGAGACTAAAAATAGTTTTAAAAAAAAATTCCTTTGCTGTATGCATGTTTCCCTCCTTATCAGCTCACATCTAAATATCAATAGTGTACTTTTATAAGTAATTCAATTGGAGCAGCTTTTTAAAGATGCTGTTGCTAGCTAGTATAAATAATATACTTAATCAAAGTTATTATTCTTGAAAATTAAGTTATACATGATTGACTTGCCTGGGTTTTATAACTTGAAGACTGTGAGTAAGTGAATCGGTTCTAATCCCAGTACAGAACACTCCCATGCCAAAACATTAGTTTGTAAAACAGAGTGGTTATGGGGTTCTTGTGTTGCTGGGTGACTGCACAAGGCATCTTTTAACAATGTATTGATATACTGATCTAATATAAGTACCTCTAAGTGTAGCCTTTGCTTTAGTGAGCATAATCTATTTTGTTATCTAGTACAAGTATTCACATTGATATACTAAGCTTTAAAGTGTGGAAAAGAAGAGTAAGACATAAATGTTCAAAACCAAATGGAAATTGAAAGGAGAAGGGAAAGTTTCATTTTATTCATTCAGTTCTAACATAAATAACAGAAGAATTTTTAATTTAATACTTATATTACTTTTCAAGGAAAAGACCATTTCAGGCATGAAGAATATCATTGCTGAGATGGAACAGGCATCAAGGTAAATCAGTCATTCAACACATATTTGATAGCTTACCTGAGGCAAAGTACTGTTAGGACAAAGATAATAAGAAACAAGAGGTTTAGTGTTATGTCTAAGGTGATAACTCCCTAATGTTCAAAGGAGGCCAATGTCTGTTCAGGGAAGTAAAAGGGGATGGCGTTTGTCAAGTCCAAAGAAAAAGGCATTCAAAGTAGAAAGAATAACAAAGAACCACAGAGGACCATAGATCATGTTCACAAACCTCTCCACCAGAGTGTAGGAGTAGAAATGAAGGGAGGAGAGACTAAACAGGCAGGTCGTAGCCTGTGTTATAGACAAACGAGTCTTGATATCCTAAGAAATCACTAGAGAATTCTGGCATTTTTGTGTTAGAAAGACTACTTAGAAGAGGTGTAGGCAAATTAGGCCTTAGGGATTGGGGGCCAGAAGGAGTGAGGTGTTTATAAGGGAGAGACACTAGAAAAATGCTAGGTTTCTGGCCAAAGGTTAATGTTAAACATGAAGAAAGTATGAGGAGAAAGATGATTTTACTTCTGAATTTGAAGAACTTTTTGGACTTTATGGTAGATATGTATAGTAAGCAACTGAGTATGAATCTGGTAACAGAGGAGCTGAGGCTGGAGATAATTATTTTGGAGTCATCTGGGAGTTGGGAACCAAGGATATGAATGGAATTTGTAGGAGACGAGTGATAGAATGAAAAGAATCAGGAGCCAAGATTTTTAAGACTAATTTTTAAGAGGGCAGAAGAAGAAGAATCTTTGAAGGAGACTAAGCTATATCAGCAAAAGGTAGGATGAAAGCCTTTCTGATACTTGAGTGTTAGAAATTTTGAAATGCTTGGCAAGTCGTTGACTAGTATGTACATTTAGTATTCTTTCATAGTGAAATGATGGCAATGTAGAGAAGCTCTAATGCACTGTCTTTGTTTTATTTATTCCTATAAAATTAAATGTATTTAGAATCTCTTGAGATGTTTTCATGCTAACTGTCCGTCTTCTGTCTTGTGAGAATTTATTGTTCTGTTTCAGTAAAATGTCTCTTCTTATGTACTATTTGATTTGTGGAATAGACAGTCTACTGAAGCCCTAATTATGTGTGAACAAGACATTTCCAGAATGCGTCGGCAATTGGATGAGACAAATGACGAGCTGGCCCAAATTGCCAGGGAAAGAGATATCTTGGCTCATGACAATGACAATCTCCAAGAACAGTTTGCTAAAGCTAAACAAGAAAACCAGGTACACTTGTTCCTAGAATCTGTTCTCTCTAAGAAAAAAACACATGTATTTCTTCTGAAGGACTGCCATCATTTCATTTTGTAGAAAAGCTCAGACATTGGAACTAAGCATTTATTTTTGCCTTTAAAACACAGTATAATTTCGAAAGGGAATTTTCAAAGTGTTAAATACTAAAGAAAAAAGCAGGGACATAATCAATTTTTATTAAGCCTTAGAAAAATACTTCTTTATTGAAGGATAAATAGTTTGAATAAATCAACAAATGAGGATAAAAACCTTAAAGAAAGAATAGATTTTTTTTTAATGGACTTCCTATTATTTTGTTTAAGTATGAGTGAATGAGTTGTGCCATATTTTTTGGTCCTCTTTAGCACTGCGATTCTTTTTAGGAAAAATCCTTTTATAATTACTCTCCCTCTCTAAGACAACATATTTTTGTCTAACCCACAGTCCTCATTTCCAGTAACATTATTTTAACTTAAACATTAAAAAATTCTCTTGCGAAAACTTCTTTCCCCCCAAAATTCTTCATTCCAAATGATTTCCCTCACTCAAATATCACTTTCAATGTGTTTAGTTTGCATCATAAAAGTGTATTCTTTAACTGTTAAAGATTTTTGATTATATCAACAACTATAAAGATGCAATACTTTGTTAATTATACAAAATTATCTGAGATGTTGAAGTACTTTGTTCAAAAGTTAATGAATAACGGGATCCTGGAACAGAACAAGATATTATGAAAAAATGAAGAAAATCTGAATAAAGTATGTAATGTATCAATATTGGCTCATTAATTGTGACAAATATACCAAACTAATGTAAAATATTACTAATAGAGGAAAGCTAGTATGGGATGTATGGGTGCTCTTATATTATTTTCACAACTTTTCTGTAAATCTGAAACTATTCTAAAATAAAGTTTATTTTTTAAAAAATTAACGAATACCAATAAAAACAAAAAATGTGAATTTATAAGTTCTACTTTTATGTACTCTACAGCTAGATTAAATGGGTTAAAAGTGAGTGTAACTTTTCTAAAAAACTAAATTTCTAGTTTTTCATAAACATGAGTCAGAGCCTCACTCTGACTCACCACAGCCTCAAGCTCCTGGGTTCAAGGGATCCTCCTACCGCAGTCCCCTGAGTAGGTGGAACTACAGGCATGTGCCATGATGCCCTGCTAATTAAAAAAATTTTTTTGTAGAGACCAGGTCTCACTGTGTTGCCTAGGCTTGTCTTGAACTCCTGGGCTCAAGGGATCTTCCGCCTCAGCCTCCTAAAGTGCTGAGATTATAGGCATGGGCCACCGTGCCCAGCATTTGTTTTGTTTTATTTGTTAAGAAATAGAGGCTCATTATAGAAAGTCTTGTTTCTTACAAAAAAAAAAAAAAGAAAGTAAAAAAAAAAAAAACTTGGCTGGGCTCGGTGGCTCAGCCTGTAAGCCCAGCACTTTGGGAGACCTAGGCGAGTGGATTGCCTGAGCCTGCGGGTTCGAGAGCAGCCCGGGGAACTTGGCGAGACCTCGTCTCTACAATATATAAAAAATTAGCCGGGCATGGTAGTGCACGCCTGTAGTTTCAGCTCCTTGGAAGACTGAGGCGAAAGGATCGCCAGAGCCCAGCTGGTTGAGGCTGCGGTGGACGAGAGCGTGCCACTGCACTCCAGTCTGGGTGACAGAGTGAGACTCCAACTCAACAACAACAACAACAAAAACTCATATTTTTAACACCCAGAGTTGGCCACGGTTAACATTTGACACGTTGTTTTATATTGTTTTTCAGTTCACTTAAATACTTTTTAATACTATTTTATATGTACTTTTTAGTGTAACTGGGATAAAATCACATGCCTTTTTATATTGTGCTTTTTTTTCTTTTTTCTTTCTTTTTTTTTGAGTTGGAGTCTCACTCTGTCGCCCAGGCTGGAGTGCAGTGGCCGCTCCCGGCCACCGCAGCCTCGACCTGCTGGGCTCTGGCGATCCTTCCGCCTCAGCCTTCCGAGTAGCTGGAATACAGGCGCGCACTCCCACGCCCGGCTTATTTTTTTTATTTATTGTGGAGATAAGGTCTCGCCAAGTTGCCTAGGCGGGTCTCGAACCCGCGGGCTCAGGCAATCCACTCACCTCAGCCTCCCAAGGCATGGGATTACAGGCTGAGCCACCGAGCCGGCTTGTGCTTTTTCTTCTACATGAACAGGCAGTAGAACAGAGTATTTAAGACTTAAATGGGATTGAATCTCACTCTCTGGTTGTGTGATCATACAGTTTAATTTATCTGATTCTTAGTGTATCATCTGTAAAAATGGATAGTAGACAAGACTATGTTTAGAAAGCACTTACTATAATATCCTGTATATCACTCAATAAATATTTTGTAACGATTATATACTGTAATGTCATACACATTTCTCTGCCTTGTTCAAACTTCATAAACATTTTTTATAATCAGAAGAAAACTGATGTCATAACAATTTACTTGTTCATGAGTACTTTTCCCTTCATTTGGGTCACAGGCCCAAGGTAGAGGAAGGACCTCTCTGTGGGCTAGGTGGCTCAGCCTGTAATCCCGCGCCTTTGGGAGGCTGAGGTGAGTGGATTGCCTGAGCCCGTGGGTTCGAGACCTACCTGGGCAACTTGGTGAGACCTCATCTCGACAATAAATCAAAAAATTAGCCGGGGTGGTTGCACATGCCTGTAATTCCGGCTACTTGGAAGGCTGAGGCGGAAGGATCGCCGGAGCCCAGCAGGTCGAGGCTGCGGTGGCTGGGAGCGGCCACTGCCCTCTAGTTGGGCAACAGAGTGAGACGCCAACTCAAAAAAAAAAACCAGTACTACAGAAGATTGGGAAAGCAGAAACTTTAAAATTTTACCCTTGATACCACATTTTTAAAAATAAACTTGTTTTTATTCATTTCTGGGGGTCCCTAAAATTATTTCATCCACAAATACAAATGTTTTTCATCATAATACTAAGATGTTATTTGTCTTAACTGAATTCACATTTGCATTAATGGTACAAAGCAATAGTAGGTAAAATACTGATGCTTTAGTTCAAATCAAGGTTCATCATTAGTTGTACAAATGTTCATTATGCAGGTGTACCCTTGTTGATGAGGTGTGCCCCGACACTACAGTTTTTACCAAATTGGGATAATTAGGTATTTTTGTGTTTTGGCCTGATATTTTTGCTTAACATAGATGAACATTTTCCTGTTATTAAAAATCATTTCAAATGTTCCCCATCAATGCATAATATTCTACTATGTAGTTATACCACTGTGTAGATATACTATTATTTACTGCATCATTCACTTGATGTGACTACATATTGTCATTGTAATAAATAATGCCTTATTTAATATTTAACAAACATGTTAAATATTATAAGATTTCATTTCAAATTGAGTCAAAGCTTATGAAATTTCCATTTTAAATAAAAAGAAATGTTTTAAGTGGACATTTTCAAATACAGTGAATCTCCATGTACCATCTCCTACCTTCAGAAATAATCAACATTTTGTCTTTTTTGTTTCTATAACATTTAAAAATGTCTCTTGATACATCACCAGTAGCTAATCACAGATTTGCTTTCACCAAATTTACGTTTACTCCAGCAGTACACAGAAATGCTCATTTCTTGCCATAACTGAATAGCTTTAAATCTTTAATAACTTGATGTCAAAATAGTAGTTCATTGTTTTAATTAGCATATCTTTAATTACTAGTAAAGTTTTTTATGTCTTATCTCCTTCATGCTTTCTTTTTGTGAATTGTTTGTTTTGGTATTTTGCCCATTTGCTGTTGTGCTCATGTGTTTTCTCACTGCTTTTGTATTAATTTCCTGTATTAGGTATGTTAATTTTATTTATCTTATTTATTCCAAATATTTAAAAATTTATTTATGATATTTTTGAGATATAGGAATTTTCTTTTTTATAGTAAAAACTACCCATCTTTTTTTCATAGTCACTGTCCAAAAAATTGAATGACACTCATAATGAACTTAGTGACATAAAACAGAAGGTCCAAGATACCAATCTGGAGGTCAACAAGTTGAAGAATATATTAAAGTCTGAAGTATGTATATCTCTTTTTGTGTCTTGTTGTGATACCTAGAGTTTTCACTAGATTTAATTTAGTAATCAATTATACTCATGGGGCAAGTGAATCAAGTCCTTTAATATACAGCATATTTTAGTTTTGATAATGGTGGATTAACTATAGAATGTTGCCAATGTTCAGACAGATAACTCAAGAATATGACCCCATTTCAATGCTGTGTGTAGAAAAAAATAATAGAAAGAATATGTCCCTTTTAGTTTGCTACTCAGCCATTCTAGATAAGCAGAAGGGAAAAGGGCCAGAATAAACTCGGCCTCACTTATTATTTGAAAATGGTGGAGTTTTCAATTATAAACCTCTGATAAAAGAGGCTCCACCTGATTGTATAATAGATCAGAACTGATTACTTTGGTTTAGGACCGTCTGTTTTTTAGGACCAAAGTGTAGGTTGTTCTCTGCATTTCTCTGTTAACAGCCATTCAACCAGGTGCATGTATGTGATATCAGATGACTCCAAATAAGTGTGGGTGCCTATATGGCAACCCTGGAATAAACAACAGGCAGCTTGACCAAGGATGTTAGAGATTATCTAACTTTAATATACTTTGAATATTATATTTAATAATTTTAAATATTATCTAAAATTGTGTTGGTGGGTTGATTATTATAATCGGTGCGGTGTTACGTATATACCATTCAAACCATCAATGGGAGCTTCCCCCCCAACTGCTTATTTTATTTAATGTATCATTTAATATCAGTCTACAAACATATTTTGATTACTTATTTATAATATGCATAGGAATAAGGACTTTCAGATAGAAGAAAATCCAAGCCTTCCTAAATTGGAATTCCTGCTTTCAGCAAGGCAACAGTCTTATGTAGGAAAAGCAGGTGGTTTCCTACACTTCTTGATTTTAAGGTGCTAGCAATGTAATACTATAAGTGGATAGAAACTTTGGAATCAGCCATATCTAGCTTCTCTTTTTACTAATGTCATGGACATATGTGGGCTACAGCACCTCCATTTCCCACCTGTCATTGGGAAGAATACCCACGTAAATGAGATAAAGTGTTTAAAATACCTAGCATGGTGAACCATCTGCATCTATTTTAGAATAGGTCAGAAATAGATAAATGAACATCCAGAGCAACACTTAGTGTAGTAAGATTTTATCTCCCTAGCCTGTTAGTCACATTACCTGAAATTCTACCATTAGGATTTAGAGCTTTTAAATTCTGGAATTATATTTTCATACATTACACATCATACTTCTCTTAGCTTTTGGCGTCCTAGTATGAGTTTATGAGATTGCATTGCATGACACTGGATGGATCCAGGCACCTCCCCTGAGAGAATGAACCGCGGGCCCATTTTGGTAGGGAGAGGCCATCAAGAAACGTGGAGTATTCCTTGATTCACCCATTCGTTCAGTGTGCAGTGTGCTAGGTGCTGTGCTGCCAGAGATGAAAGACTGGGAGAAAACAGCATGGCTCCTCAGGCAGTGAGAACCTCATGAGCAAAGGTATAAGGGGGAAAAGTAGGTCTTGTAGCTACAGTGTATAAATAGGTGGTAATGGAGAGGTTAGGAGCTTCTTTGAACCCTATGTTCAGGAAGCTTTTGTTAGAACTAGATCATGGAAATTATTTGAGAATTGCCTTTTAGGGAGATATTCTGGAAAGGGTAAATCATAAGATTAACAACCTCAGAAGGGAAGAAGTAATTAGGAGAGGTTGTAACCATAATTAGGGCAAAAATTGCAAAGGATTCCTGTTACTGTGGGTACAGGATGAGGAGGCACCCTATAGAGGTGAAGAGATCCTGAAAGCAAGGAATAAAGAATATCAAGGAACAGTTTCACTTTCTTTACAATGTTGCTATTGCAAGCCCCAACTGCTCTGGCCTCTATGGGAAGATACACAAAGGGGTAAGATCAGTTTCTAGTTGCCAACAGGGAGGGACACTGGATGACTGAAGGGTAGGAGAGACATTCTATGGCAATTGTTTTTCACCTTGAACTGTGTATTACCTGGTCACAAAACTGAATTTAACATAAGAATGGTTCATATCTTGGAGAAATAATCATGTTATCAGGGAGATAGTATATCCATGCCTAACAAAACTGTAAGGCAGTTTTAAATGAATAACATAGACAATAAGTACTATAGAAAGTTAAATAGATTATGTGGGTAAAATTCACTTTACATGTATTTTACCATTTACCTTCCAAGTATGTACTCTGTACACAACTACCATTTTTAGTGCAATTGTGGAAAACACTCATTGGGTTTTTACTGGCACATTTGAATCTTGAAAGCCAATAAAGTAATTTAGAATATTAATTTGTTGACTAACAGCCTTGAAAAAGTTCTTTCACAGTGGAGGCCACAAGATGGCAATATTAGCTGAATTTCAACCAGGCTTAAGTAGTTACAATTGTGAAATGGTAATCTGATTTTAAAGTGAGACTTTATTTATACAATTTGGTGATTTTATTTAGCCCAGGACTTCTTATAAGGAAGTACACTATATAGTAACAGGACAGAAACAGATTTAGTGTCTTGTTAAAATTAATTACTGAAATTATAGCTAATTTTTTAGAACATATTTCAAACATACAAAAAAGTGCAAAAAACCGTAGAGAATAAGAGCAACAAACTATAATAATAATAAAATATTTTAAGTAGCCTAATAATGATTACTCAGTGTAGTATATTATTTGAGGAGCTGAAATTTTTCCTGCAGAAATAAGATTCAGCCAATCTGCTTATGATAGAATTTTGAAGTTTAAAAAAATCTGGTTTTATATACTTATGACTAGCATTTATTGGTATAGGTTCAACATTTTACTTCTGAGAAATTTCAGGCAAGTTACTACACTAGCAGGCGAAAGTAAATCATAAGTCAATGACTAAGAAATTAAGGTCAGGACTGTGAATGGAAGGCCAGAATTAGACAGGAATTTACCAACCAAGAGAATTATTGTAAGTTGATCCTTAAGAAATGCAAGCACTCAGTAAATTGGTCAGCAATAAGGGAATACAAAGATACAAAAGATCAGAGGCTCAGAAACCAGACCAGTAAATAGTAAGTCGCCATATGGGAAAGGAGGCAATGGAGGGTTTTGTTTGAACACAAGGTAATATTTGAGCATATTCTAAAGATCCTGACGATAAGAGTAATTTACTTAAGTTTACTCAGGAGCCAGGGCAGATTCTGATCTCACTCTTTTTGTTAATTACAGGGTGATTGGTTTTTCTAAACTAGGAGTATATATAGCTAGGTTTCCTCAAGGTTATGTTACAAATACTCCTTATGGCAAGTGAATTCTCAATGATATGGAAAATAATGTTTAATTTATATCATATGTTGAACATTTTAAATGTTTTAAATACCTAAGATTTGCTTTCAGGAATCTGAGAACCGGCAAATGATGGACCAACTCCGAAAAGCCAATGAAGATGCTGAAAACTGGGAAAATAAGGCCCGCCAATCAGAGGCAGATAACAATACTCTCAAATTGGAACTTATCACTGCTGAGGCAGAGGGTAACAGATTAAAAGAAAAAGTAGATTCCCTCAATAGAGAGGTTGAGCAAGTAAGTTTGGGAAAGTATGCTTATAATACATCCTGCATCATATTTAAAATAGTCTTGCTTGACTTTCCATAAATTAAATATATGAACAAACACAAATTATTTAAATATATTGTGAATTGTAGCATGCTAACCATTGTCTGAATATCCACTCTGGTTCTTCTCCAGTCTCTTATCTACCCTACAACTGAAACATCATTAGCATTTGTTAAGATTAGGAAATATTTCAACCATACAAAAAAGTGCAAAAACTCTTAATATGACAGATAAACATGTCCCCACATCCCCAACGTAAGGATACCTATCTTGCCACATTTGCTTCAAGGAGATTTTTTTTTTTTTTGTAAAGAAACCAAGCATTACATATACAACTCCTCATCTTTTTTCCTCATCCTTCTCTAATTGTTGTTGTATATCACTTTCCGGTAAGTATGTCTAACTCCTATGCATGTGTTTATACTTTTTCTACATATTTGTCACCCACAAATGATGTATAATGTTTTGTATGTTTTCGGTTTTGCCTGAGTGATAATAAACATACTAGAGATATCCATTTGTAACTTGCCCTTTTTGTTCAATATTATAATTTTGAAGTGTCTCTCTTTTGATAATTGATTTATGCAGAGGGTGCCCAAAAAATGTGTACACATTTTAAGAAAGGAAAAACTATTAAAATTGTAATACTCAATAAGATGAATACAAGTCACATTTGACTTTTGCAATTACAAGAGGTGATCAGAGTGGTTATCATCAGCATCCAGACACTTCTGATTATGGTGAATATCTCTTAACATCGCTTAAAATGTATATACATGTTTTGGGCATCCCCAGTATGTAGAGTCCTACTTCAAACAGTATATTCATTGTAGACATATTTTTAAATTCATTCACATACTGAAGGAAATTTAGTTTTTTTCTATTATAAAACATTGCAACAAACCTCCTTTTACATTTCTCCTTGGTTATATGTCTGTCTAGGTTTACGTCTGGAAGTGAATAACCAGGTCAAAGATATGTATATTTTCAACTCTTCTAAGTCACATTTGTTCTCTAAAGTGTCACTTTCCCATTAGAAATCATGTGTTGTTATTTTCTCAAATACTAATTGAATACTTGATATTGTCAGACTTAAATTTTTCCATAGTTTAGTTTTGTGTTTTCTTGATTACTAGTGAAATTGAGGAAATTTTCATATCTCTTAGTCATGCAGGATTCCTCTTCTATGAATTTTTTTCTTGAACTTCTCAAGTGAAGTTTTCAAAAACTTTACTTATTTTTCTATTGAGCAGCTTATATTTTTTATATTGATGTAAAGGAATTCTCTATATATTCTTGACAATAATCTTTTTTAAAGATATAATTATACTGTTTTTTGACTTATCTTTTCATTTTACTTGTAATATAAGCAAACATGTCAAATTCTGATGCACTCAGAATTATTATCAATCTTTTCCTGTATGGTTTATGCTTTTATGTCTTCTTTAAGAAATTCTTTACTATTCCAAGACTAAAAAGCTATTTTCCTATATTTTCATTTAAAGGTTCTTCTGAAAATCTGAAAGTATGTAAAATTTTGCCCATTACATTTGGGTCTTTAATCCACTTGGGATCTATTTTGTGTAGTTTGAAGTAGATATATTTTTATTTTTGTGGATGGCTATCCATCATCCTTTCTTCACTAAAATGTAAGTCTCCTTCATCTTAAAATAAAAGTAAGTCTACTTTGTCATAAAAAATTTCAGTACATTTTGTGCCATTGGTCTATTTATTGATCCTTTTGCCAACAATACACTCTTACAGCTACTCTAGTTTTATATGAAGTCTTGATATCTGAGAGGATTAATGTTCCTTCAAATTATTTTGACTGCACTTGCCCTTATTAAAGTCTCTCAATGCATTTTAGAATAAATTTATCACATTCTCTGACTTTTGTATCATTCTTCTTTTGTATGCTTTAAGGCTAGAAATTTCTCTTACATTTTTTTGGCTACCACCCACAAGTATTGAAGTAATGCTTTCATTGCCATTCAGTTTTAACTATCATCCAATTACATTATGATCATTATGATTATTTTTGATCACTGAAATTTTAAAATTATTTCCAGTGTACAAGGGACTTGAAGTTGTTTATCTATTTTTATTTTGTTGTGTCTATTATCACTTCTGGCTAGCATTTTGTTGTCTAGTATTTCTAATATAATGATCAGATAAAATGGCTTATTTGACATTAATTCTTTGGTATCTCTTAAGAATTTCTTAGTGTCAGGGTACCCAATATTTGATAATATACACCAGCTTGAAAAACATATGTGCTCACTTACTGGGTACATATATATGTTTTATATGTATATATTTGATGAGGCTTGTTAGTAGTGTCAATCCTTATAAGTCTTTTCTAAATTTGTTTTCTTGATTTTTCAATTACTGAAAGAGATACGTTAAAATTATGTGGTGGTTCACACTCATGCCTGTAATCCCAGCACTTTGGGAGGTGGCGGTGAGAGGATTGTCTGAGCCCAAGGGTTCAAGACCAGCCTGGGCAATTTGGCAAGACCTCGTTTCTACAATAAATAAAAAAATTAGTCGGGCATGGTGGTGCATGCCTGTGGTTCCAGCTACTTGGAAGGCAAGTTGAGGCTGCAGTCGCCATAAGTATGCCACTGCACTCCAGTCTGGGCAACAGAATAAGACTCCTACTCAAAACAAAAAAAAATTGTCCTATATAATTGTGGATTTGTCTATTTTCCTCTGAATGATATTGTCAGTTTTTGTTATATTTTAAAGACTACTATTAGATTCATACTCGATCAGTATTTTTTATATTTATAATAAAAATTTCTTTTATCATTGTGTAATGAGTCACTTCAAAATCACTTCTGCTTCAGAGTGTGATTGTATATATTAATCTAGCTATCTAGTTTGTTTATTGTTTATGAACAACTGGCAAATCTAATTTTTAAATAAGCTGTATTGAAGTTTAAATCTAAATGAACTAAAAAAGCACCCATTTTAAGTGTATAATACAGGGACACTTGAACAATCACCACTATAATAAAGGTAGAAAATTTCCATCACTTCTCTAGTGTTCCCTCAAACCCTTTGCAGTCATCTATCCAAATCCCCAGGAAGCCACTGATTTACTTTTTTTCCAATTAAAAAATTTTAGGGGGGTTTGGGGGTACACGTGCAAGTTTGTTACATGAGTATATTACGTGGTGGTGTGTTTTGGCCTCTGTTGAGCCCATCACCCAAATAGCGGGTCATACCCAATAGCTAGTTTTTCAATGCTTGCCCCCACTTAGGGGTCCCCAGTGTCTGCTGTTCCCATCTTTATGTCCATGTGTACCCAGTGTTTAGCTCCCACTCACATGTAAGAATAGATGGTATTTGGTTTTCTGTTTCTGCATCAATTTTCTTAGAATAATAGCCTCCAACTGCATCAACGTTGCTGCAAAGGACATAATTTTTTATAGCTGCATAATATTCCCTGATGTATATGTACCACGTTTTCGTTATCCAGTTCAGGATTGATGGGAACCTATGTTGGTTCCATGTTTTTGCTATTGTGAATAGCGCTTCAAAAAACATACAAGTGCAGTAGTCTTTTTGGTAGAACAATTTATGTTCTTTTGGGTACGCACCCAGTAGTGAAATTGCTGGGTTGAATGGTAAAGTTACTTTTAGTTCCTTTACTTTTAGTTCCTTTTTTTTTTAAATCAGAGTCTCACTCTGTTGCCCAGCATGGCGTGCAGTGGCATGATCACAACTCACTGCAGCTTCAACCTCCTGGACTCAGGCAATCCTTCTGCCTCAGCCTCCGGAATAACTGCAACTACAGGTGTGTACCACATGCCCAGCTAATTTATTTTATTTTATTTTTGTAGAGACAGGATCTTGCTATGTTGACTAGGGTGGTCTCGAATTTTGGGGCTCAAGTAATCCTCCAACATTGACCTCTCAAAATGCCAGGATTATAGGTGTCAGCCACTATACCCAGCCTATTTTAAGTTCTCTGAGAAATCTCCAAACTGCTTTCCACAGGGGCTAAACTAGCTTGCATTCCTACCAACCGTGTATGAGCATTCTCTTTTCTTCACAACCTCACCAATATCTTTTATTTTTGACTTATTAAAAATAGCCATTCTGACTGGTGTGAAATGGCATCTCATTATCATTTTGATTTGCATTTCTTTGATGATTCATGATGAGCATTTTTTCACGTTTGTTGGCTGCCTGTATGTCTTCATTTAGGAAGTGTCTTTTCCTGTCTTTTGCCCACTTTTTAATAGGGCTATTTGTTTTTTTCTTATTGATTTGTTTAAGTTCCATGTAGATTCTGAATACTAGCCCTTTGTTGGATGCATAGATTACAAATATTTTCTCTCTTTCTGAAGGTTGTTTATTTACTCTGTTGATGGTTTCGTTTGCTATACAGAATGTCTTTAACTAGGTCCCACTTGTCAATTTTTGTTTTTGTTGCATTTGCTCTTAGGGACTTGATTAGAAATTTGTTGCCAAGGCCAGTGTCAATAAAAGTATTTCTTAGGCTTCTAGGATTTTTATAGTTTGAGATTTTACATTTAAGTCTTTAATTCATTTTGAGTTCATTTTTGTACATGATAAGAGGAAGGAATTTACCTTCATTCTTCTGCATGTGGTCAGCAAGTTTTCCTAGCACTATTTATTGAATAGGGTGTCCTTTTCCCAATGTTTACTTTTGTCAACCATGTTAAAGATCAGTTGGTTGTAACTAAGAGGTTTTATTTCTTGTTCTCTATTCTCTTCCTTTGGTCTATGTGTCTATTTTTGTACTGTATCCTGCTGCTTTGGTTACTGTAGCCTTATAGTAAAGTTTGAAGTCCAGTCATGTGATACTGTTAGTGTTGTTCTTTTTGCTTATGATTATTTGGGCTCTTTTTTGCTTCCATATGAATTTAATTTTTTTGCTAGATCTGTGAAAAATGATGCTGGTAGTTTGATAGGGATTATGTTGAATCTGCAGATTGCTATAGGCAGTGTTGACATTTTAACAACATTGATTTTTTTCAATTCATGAACATGGAATGCTTTTCCTTTGAGTCACCTTTGACTTCTTTCTTTATTGTATATATTTTTC